ATTGGCACACGGGGCGAGGGCGACTGGGGTCACGTCTTCTGGGACCAGGTGGGTGGACGCTGTGCAGGACGGTCACCCCTGGGGCTTTATGCAGCAGCCGGGGCAGAGGAGGCTCAGTGGGAGGACGCGGGGAGGCCTCCTCCTTCTCCCAAGCAGGGGGACGCCAGCTGTCGCTGGAGCGCACCCTCCTGCTCCTTTCTAAGGACTGCCCAGCCAAACCCCTGGAGCGACTCCTCTAGCTCAAGAGCAAAGCTCCCAAGTCAAGGCCAGATGGCAGTGGGGGTGAGGGGCCAGGAGAGACCCACTTGCAGGGTGAGGTCTGGGGTGAGGAGCTCAGTCAGTTGAGCGTAGCGTTAACAACGCCAAGGTCGCGGGTTCGATTCCTGTTTGGTCCCCATGTGTTGCCTGCTCTAGTCGAGAGGTGGCATCCCTGGTGGCAGGAAGGCTGGATTCTAAGGACCCTTCCAGCCTGGGCCATTCTATGATTCTATGATAGTTCAGGTTCCTCACCCATAGGAGCTTCAGTGACCCTCTCTGACCAGGGCCACCAACTTTCACCTGTTTAAAACGAAGCAAGTCAAAACCTGCTCTTCTCCTCACAGCTCTGGTGGCATCAGCGAGCCCTGCTGTGCCTGCACCCCTGACAGAACAGAGGTGTTTTCTGTGACTGGCACACCCAGCTTTTAGATGTAGGTTTGGTGTGTGCTCGCCGAGCTGGCTGGGCTGGGAGGCTTTGCCCCAGCTGGAGGTTGCCTCTGCCCTCAGAGCAGCCCTGTGGTGCTCAGCTCTGCAGCTGGACCACATCTGCACGGCGTGGGCAGGAGATGCTTCTGGATGGTGTTGAGGCTCTGGTGCTAAAGCTCGCCCAGCCTTTCAGTGGGCAACAACTTTCCCATCCTGAGGGCCTGGCGTGCTTTCCTCCTGGTGATGCACGTGGTTTTCTCCCGCTCCAGAGCCTCCAGCTTTGGAGGGCTCCTTCTCCTGATGGAGGTCCTGCTGAGATCACCCTGGTGAGGTACCAGAGAGTAGCAGGTGAGGGCAGAAACAGTCCCCTGTGGATTTGTCCCTTTTAGTGACCCCATTGGACAACACCTTTATGTAGTAGCAAAATCATGTTCAGGGCATTTGGGATGGGAGTGGACTTGAAGGGTGACCCTAGTAGGAGCATTTCAGTGCCCCACCAGCCAGTCCCATCGTCTTGCCTTGCTTGGCTGTTCGCAGGAGACCTGGATGTTCCCCAATATTCTGCTGTTTTATCCTGAAGCCGCCCGAGCCATCCTGGAGTATCGGATTCGCACCCTGGCAGGAGCCTTACACAACGCGCAGGAGCAAGGCTACCAGGTGGGGACGAAGATGTGGGGCTGAGGGCGGTGGAACCATCACCCAGGAGCACAGCTGGGCGCTGCTCTCCCTCTGCAGCTCCAGTTTCAGCCGGGGCTGTGAGCGGGGCATGGCTGGTGGGTGCTGGGCTGGGGAGAGCATCTCGGGAGGTTGTGCTCAGCTGCCTCGGGGATGTCTTCTCCTGGCAGGGTGCTAAGTTCCCGTGGGAGAGCGCAGCCACCGGCCGGGAAGTCTGCCCCGAGGAGATCTACGGAGCCCAAGAAATCCACGTCACTGGGGACGTTTTGATGGCCTTTGAGCAGTACTACTGCACCACGCAGGTACAGGGAGCATGGCCCGCTGGGGTGGCCCGGTGGCCAGGCCTGCAGGGCATCTGCCGACGGTCACTGTCCCTTCTCAGAGAAACTGCTGTTGCCTTCTCCTTTCAGAATTGCCAGCAGCAGCACGGGGTTGCTGCTTCAGCTCTGCCTCCTCTGTCCTTGCTCCTCGCGGCCACCTTGGCATCTCCTTGGCTCAATCCAGGCCAGTTTTCTGACCTTTTCTCCTTCTCTGTCCATCTCCTTATGG